TGATCTTCGGTCTTGAAATATAAAGAAAAGACCTATGCGAATTAATTTTGTACTGGATGGTGAATTTTTGAAAGGTTAAAGTAACTAAGATAATGAGTAGAATTCTGAAAGAATAGTAGCAGTTCATTCTATTGATAATTTATTTACTCAGGTTTTTCGACTTTTGTCTTTTTCCGTGGTGGTTCATCATTGACACGTGCATCATTGATTTGGACCCGTTTCCTCTTCTGGGCTACCTGACCAGTATTCATAATGGAAATGAGGAGTCCGAAATCCTGAAAAAATAACAGGATTTCGTTGTCTATCTCAACGCTTGTATGATTGTATTTCAGAATATGAGTTTCGTTTTAATATGCACGTTACAATGATAACATATTCGGGTGAAGGTGCTCTCAATAGTTTTTCAAAACTAGGGATTCATTGATAGTTAGGCTAAATCGTAGTAGCTATCTTTTATATCGTATCTTTTTCTTTAACTGACACAACATTATTGCATTCCGGAAAAACAAATTCTTAGTGCAGTCACACTAAAAAAAATCGGTACCTGTATATAATTTATTATTATTAGGGAGATTTTTCCAAATCCAATGCATAAGACGTTCATAAAAGAAATGTTTCAGAAGAATAATTTATTTGCAGATTATTGAAATGAGATTTTTACTGATATTCGTTTGGAATCAATACATGGCTACCTTTTTTAGTAATGGTTTTGAAATTTTTAGCTTCTACAATCGCGAAATGCTCGGAAGAAAAAATCATTTTTACCAAAGATTCAGTGGCTTTTATTTCTATAAGCTAGTGAGCTCGAGATGATTTTGGCTAGGTTAATAATCATTGCTCCAGAGAATGGTTATGTTCATTATGACCTTGAATAAACTCTCAATAATGATTAATTATTATAAAAAATCATTTTTCACAAAAACCACATAATTACTCTTATGTAAAGAGATTCTTGCTAGTTAGTTTAGGTAGTTTCCAAAAACGCTGGTTAATATCCTGTGAATACCGTCATTTTTCATAGCAAAATTCAGAAAAAATAAAATACAAAATAATGCCAAGTCAGGCAATATTTTACAGATAAGCATTATGTTCAACAGAATTGCTTTTATGGGTCTATCGACTGAAAAAAAAATTAAGATTGCATCATAAGATGGTTTTTACAATTCTATCGACTCAAAGAATTTTTATACACACTAAAACACGAATCATCAACCCCCAGAGTATCAACAAAGTGAAACGGCCATCAAATCTCGAACATCGAAAACCAACATGAAATTACTTTTCACGTGCTATTTCAGGGCTATTTCAACGGTTTCCATCAATAATTAATATATAAGAGAAACCTCTTGACGAAGAAAAATACCTGGACGACTCAATTTCCTTGAAAACAAGCAGAATAGCTAGTACCACCCTGTATTGTTAATCACTTCAACCGACACTTGTTTTTAGCATATAAGAATGAGTCATGAAATGCAGTGGATATGAAACCATATGAAACCGATTACACGAGATGGTCGTTTTATGTCGTCCGCCTTCAGCGCCATCATTGGATCGACACGTCTATTAGATTTAAATTCAACCGCGTTAATGTTAATTAACGAGGCATTCAACCATCAATTGCATTAACAATCCCATTGAATTAATTGAATTAAATATGTAAAAATATCCAATTTAAATTTAATTATCTTAAAATTTTTAGTCGCCGCAGCATTTCTCACCTACCGTACCGACAAGTAAAATCGACACTATATAAATATTCCCATAAAAACATGAGTATCAATGAACAGTGAATGGGACAATTAAATTAGATCAACTCAAATAATAATTCACACAAAAATAAATAAATTTTGAATACTCAGTATGAAGCTGAGTGAAACATGAATTTTCATATAGGTATGGCAGTTTTATTGAGCATCAACAGCTAGCATTTTATTACGACCGAGAGAAAGAATATTGAAGATTTAAAAACTAATTTCCATTGGAGATAGAAAAGTAAGAGACTTTTCTGCCCCTGAAGATACATAACATCATCGTCCGGGCTGGTATGAGACACAATTTCTCCCATCTAAATATAACAACAGGGTGGTCGTCGGCGTTGCATATTTCCGCATATACCGGGTTTATTTGTGCTGTACGCAGGCTGGCTATTCTCTTCTCCTCTTAGCAAGTTTTTTTTCCTCTTACCCTCAGACTCCTTTTGGTTCATATATGAGATAAGGTAAAGATGGAAATCCTTTATTGACAGATCAATATCCTCCGTTTTAAAACAAAACGCAAACTCGTATTATTGAAAGAGAATGACTTCTTTCTAATAGCCGTGACGTCACAAATGAGGAATTATCAGGTCACGGAAATATGACTGTTATGTGACGGTAATGTCTGCTGTTGTCAATTAAACAGCCCAATAATATCTTTTCATCGGGATGTTCTTTAATGGATGCAACTTCTTTTTGCGATCGAATGAGAGAAAATTTTATTAAAATATAGAAAACCTACTTGTCGACGACTAAAAATTATTGTTTTTATCACATCACATTTAAGACAATTATATCTAGTGAAGCAATTAATTATTCTATTAATTTCATCTTTTTATAAATTCGAAAAAAATTGATGGTTCGTAATGAATGTGTAGTAAAAGCAAATAAATAAATTGTTGCAAATGAATAAAGTTACGATGGGCCTCCACAATTAGTTTTTTTAAACAAATTTATTCAATTGAATATTTAGCACTCGTAATTACAGGTGTTTACGATTATTCATTAATTCAATTTTTTAGTTTCAAAACATTTTTTTTTATTTACTAATTTTTTTTGCAGAGTTCGTAATTATCCCTTAATTTATTTTCACAGCAACAGAAGATATTTATTTAAGGAGAAATTGTAGATTTTTTAACAAATTGTAGTATAAGAGACTTATGCAGGTGTAATTGTGCACTTGAACATGCCCCCCCCCCCCCAATATTACTTTCGGGAAGCAAAATACTATTGCTTCAATGAATCCATGAAATTCCATTCACGTAATATTCAGTTATAAAAGAAAGTCATATACTTGCGAAACACTCTCGTTATATAATGTTTTCTGAAAATTTACTTAGCGTGTCATTGAATGTGAGGGAATAATCTTTTTAAAAAATTACTACAGTAAATTTTCCGTAAGTGCTCATCCGGGTGAGTACTTGGTGTTTTACAGCGTTAAGAAAATCGTTCGACCAACGCATTTGCCTCCATACACTTCCACACGAGTTCTCGTTTGAAAATTTAATTCTCTGTCACGTGCGCGTAACATATGTGCAATCATGACTCCATTAAAAAAAAAATACAAAAAATTTAAATGATAGATTTTCGAGGGTCGATCAATCAGTTAGATCGTTTTTCGTTGAGATCGCTATTTTTTGTAATATATTTTACAATTTTTGATTTATAAAAGATACAAATTTCCTCTCTCATTTACGGAGACTTAATAATGAGAGTACATCATTTATGAGAATTATTTCTACATGGTAAAGAAGAGAAAAAATACTTCTAATTGAGGGCAATACTTAAAAAATCAAAGATTAGCCCGTAGACTGCTTGTTTTATTAGGGTACTCCTTTTAGTTTCAAAAAAATTTGGAATCTTATATTTTCAATTCGAATATCTACTAACACTTCGTACACCGCATCGCTTCCTTGCACAAATCCTATGGGGATAATCGAGAACAAGCACGTCTGTTACACAGCCCACATCGGATTCTATAATTGGATTCGAATGTTTGAGATCCAGTCGCGTAGTCTGTATGCCGTACCTTCGGATTTCAATGTTTCACGTCGTTATTGTTAGAGTCCATGAGTGGTGAATTGCATCAATAGAAATCATTGAAACATTCGGGAAGCGAGCTTCGCACGACAATTCAGAAAAAAATAATTTTTCAATACTACAATAGACATTCTATTCGAAGACAAATACGTTTTGTCATTGGAGAAACTGTTGTTCCATCTGCTAAAAACGCATCGGTAAATATGTATTCAAGATGAATGGTATTTGGATTGAATGCACGTGAGATCTGTTATCCGAGTAGATATTTTTCTCAGATCACCTGAAAGAGAACTCTATCTGTAATCATGTGCGTCGGATCAGGATCAGGATTTCATTAGGCATTTTAAGAGTTACAAATCATAAACTGAGAAAAAAAGTGTCAATGAAGTATTTAAGCGATTGATTGTCATTTAAACTTTTTTTCCTTGATTCAAGGCTGAAAAAAATACATGAACAAAAATTTGATTCATCTATAATATAATAATAATAATAATAATAATAATAATAATAATAATAATAATAATAATAATAATAATAATAATAATAATAATAATAATAATAATAATAATACGAACATCGTATAATCTATTTAATTTATATATATGTTATACTCAATTCTAGTTTATACGAATTGAGATGCCGTAATTAATCTTTTCCTCCAATAAAAAAAAAACGAAACATTGATAACTAATGATGTCACAGCTGATTGTCAAAATTGATGAATTATAAATGACATTCACGTTTAAATAAATAATAATATATCAGAGTACAATGGTACAAATTTCGTATTCGGCGAATGTGAAGTTTACAAGGTTTGCGAAGTTCTACTCACATTTGTTAAAACTGAAGTTTATGCCCGAGTTATCTGGCATATTTTATATTACACCGAGCTGGGAACGAGGCGTATCTCAAACTCGACTTATGGAACAACATGACATGAATTAAATTTATATTACATGCAAGTGTAAGCAAAACATCTTGCAGTTTTCATTTTTCGAGAACATTCTTTCGTTATAATACTTATAATGTATATATCGTGCTGTAGAATAAGTGTAATAATCTCTAATATATTCGGATTGTCCGAATATATTAGAGATTTTCTGAATCAGTCAGGTTGGGGGGAATGGTGGATGAATCGTATGGAAGCTGATGCTCCTATCAATGCACTAATTTATGTGTCTCGCATTGTATCGTCTGACATTCTAGATTCCACGGGTGGCCTCGTTTTCGGAATTCCAATATCGCAGTGTCTGGAGAATGACCGGTTGGCAAGGATCGCGACTGGTGAAGTTGTTGACGTTGGCTCCTTATCTAGGAGCAGCAGACACGGTAGCCGAGCAAGTTTTACCAGTCTCATTGAAACGCCCACCACAGCCTCCAAAACTGACGAGGTAAGTCAATATTTATCTCACCACAGTCATAATTAGATGGACATTAGTAGCGTGAAAATGTGCTCCGTGGATGGTTATTTTCCTGATAGCCACCAATTGGTTAATGAATTGTAAACAATTAAATAAATGAGTAAATAGTATTTTTTCTTTCCATAAATCAGAAAAAGTCTCTCACGTTATTATCTCTCCAATAGAAGTGCCATGAAAAGATCTCAGATGAATTATCTGAAGGATCAATGAATACGTCATTACTCTTAAACCAGAAAAGAGCTCTTCAGAAAAACGAAAAATATCTCCAAAGTAATTTACTATAGAAGAAAAAACTTGCATTGTCTCCAGCAACAGACAATTCTATTCGATACCTAGGAAAATTGTACGTGATCTTATACGGAGGGAATTCGCTTAAAGTTTTAGAAATATTTTGGAATTTTATACTATTTTATTAAATATTGAATAATCGACCATGAAACTTAAACATGTGGCACTTCATGGGGTGGAATACGAAAAAGGCTGCAGGGCCGATATCAAACACACCACCTGGCATTTATAGTAGCTTATCCAGCACAAAAGACCCTCTAATGTCAAATAGTGAACGTTAATAAATATCTCTGACTTCACGTGCGTAGAAAAGAGTGCCAAGTGTCATTGATTGTTTTACGGATTCCTCATAAATTTTCCAAATATCTTTTTGGATACCCTTAAGGGCTGGATGGATTATCTCGGAAAGATAATTTACTCCAAAATTCGGATTCCTAATTACTCTGGCAATTAATCGTTTTTCTCAATAATTGTTAGCTAGCGTTCTAGCGGTTGTCAACGACTAGAACGCTAGCTAACAATTATCGGGAAAAATAATTAATTGGCGGAGTAATTAGAAATCCCAATTTTGGAGTAAATTATCTTTTCCAGATAATCCAACCGGTCCTTAATCAGCATTCCAGAGCTGCGTAATCAGGACTGTACAGAAATATGAATGGGAGATCTTGGTGATTCCGTTGAATAATGGCCGAGCGCGACTAAATCACGAATTGTCGTGGATGATGAATAAAAAATGTGAAGAACACCTAAATTAAACGAAATCATGCAGAAGCTGTATCTGAATCTCATTATCCGAGCTATTGATATATTTCGATAGGAGTATCGAGATAAATGAAAAATACTCATGCAGCCATTTATTTCCGAAAACGTACATTTCATTTCGCTTCGATGGTATTGGTTGAGTTTAGACCTGCCAAATTCACATATATCCGAGGAAATATGATCTCCTTTCGCAACGAGCCACGAGATTTCTTCTGAACTCTAACCGATTGTTAAATCAATGGTACCATAAAATTTGAAGAATGTTCTTTCGAATTCTAGTGCTGTCGATGAGCTCGTAAAAATTCAAAAAAAATCAATCTCCTAGACATATCTTATGTGTTCACGTGATAAGATGACGACAAAAGCCTTGCACGTTAAATAACATCACGAGGGCTTTCACAGTAGTTTTATGTGCGACAGGTTTTCGTTCAACGTCATCGCTGCACATATACCAGAGGTATAAATAAATGTGCTTTGCCAAACGTGCTCGACTAACGAACTCGTCAGGGAAAACTTTCATCGATCATTCATTGCGATAAATCATTTTCCTTCAGTATAGCAGAAGGCACTTGCCTTGACATGGTGTTCATTTATTCTCATGACTCATCTCGCGTCATGGATATAAATTTCCTTGAACTGTCGTGAGAAATCTCATAATAGTTGCGCGGAAGCTGTACAGGGAAGAGAAGTCTTATGGAATTAAGTATATCTTGTACTAAGCCTCCCAACCGATATTGGACTTCTGATAGTAATCAAGCAAAAACTCCGAATTGACGATAAAACATTCAAAATGTTTGAGATTTAGCGAGATTTTATATTAGAGTAGGTAAGAGGTAAAATTGTCAGAAATTTATCAGTTATAATATCTCGAAATCTTAAAAATGCGCGGAATATTGGAATATAGTGAAGCTGTCAAATTCTACAGGTTAAAAATCCTGAGGGCTCAACACGAGATATCTTCTTAAAAAACTTGAGACATCTATTTATTTGAAGGGTAACTCGAGGGAGAAAATAGCCATTAATTTTGAAAGTCGAGGGACATTTGGTGGATTATTTATCGAGGCGGGATTTCGGCCAGGGGTATATAATATTCGAGGTAACAATTTTTATGAAAACGCTCAATTGGTTAGAAATAAATGGAGACCGTTCTCTGGGATAATTTCACATAAATGGGCATCGGACTCTTGAATACTGTGCTGTTCTTGGCCTAAATGCAGTCCCGAAAAATAATCAGGGGAATACCGAGGAGGTATGATCGAAATGTGACATCCGATTGGCTGCAATTTCAACGGAAAAAATAATCCCGTAAATATTTCCATCAATTTTCAGAATATTGTTGAATTTGTTACCTCAAAGGTTGGATGTTGTCACTCGACATGTGCAATACAAATCGATTCTATATCAAAGAGAAATGGCACCTTTTGGTGAGAAATGAGCGTGACACCTGTATCGGACATTGGATATGTTCTGCCTGATTCTTTTATTTTCTTAAATTTGAGCAATGACACTCTCCACTACAAAATACAACCTAGAGTCAAAATTCCTTTTTAAATTTCTTTGGGTATTAATTTCCCAGTTTTCCTTGCCTATGAATTTTCAATTCCCCTAAACTCCGAGCGTACATTAAAGATTTACTTAAAAGTTTCATTGGGCGGCAAAATAAATTAAGTGAGTTCATACTCCATTTTGCCATCATTATTTTGCGTTGCCCTATTCTCTGTCAGGTAATATTGAACTCTCTCCTATGAGTAAATTCCGATGAACGTCGATTAATATGGCGTTCAGCGCTATTGACCGAAAATCTATAAACACACACTTGCCAAGTCGAACATGATAACACAGCAATCGATATAAATGACGAAAATTGTCAACAACAACCTGCAAGCCCGTCGCTTGTCACTTCAGATTGCATTATGTTATTTTCGAGGCCGAATGTAGGTCAATATATCGGTTCTTGTACAACGGAAAATCGGTTCCGCACGGAAAACCCGCAGCACTTACGCTCCTTTCTTTTTACAATATTTACTTCTACCATAACTGATAATAGGTCCTAGAGTCACACTAAATTATTTCCGCAGATGTGTTATAAAAAAGGAAAGAATTATATAGTCAATTTATAATCAATATTATGGAGATACTCAATTATGTAATTAAGTGAAATATTATATTTATATTGCTCATAATGGAAATTCGGTGATAAGATTATACAATTATGTTTTTTAAGATTTCTAGATAATTTATTTACTTCGAATAAATAAGCAGTCAGGACTACTATTACACGGAGAGTAATAGTTAACAGAATTTATTCTCAAGTTTTGTAATCATTTAGCTTAACGACCACTTACGACTTTTTTAAACTTGAGATCGGAGTGACCATGGCATACCACTCAGTGAAAATTGTGCGAAAAATTAGAATTTTTGGAGAACGGTACAATATTTTTCCTTAAATATTTAATAAAACTATTCACTGGGCGCCAATACGAAGTATTCCCATGACTTTCTCGAAATTCACAGGTAAACTTTCATAAAAGTCCCAACACCTTGGGTTTCTAAAAGAATCTATTTATTTTTAATAATGCAAATTTTTTTTTTCCCTGAATTGAAAAATAATCTCTATGATGTTTTTAATGGTTAGACTAATTTGTGATTCCTGTGACGATTTCTGCTCGATTCCAATTGGGAGTTACAGTATTTTTAGCTCATATCGATTTTTCATAGAACGAAAATATCCGAAGATAACAACTTTTTTGCCAATCCGACGAAAACGAGCAACGAGAATGAGCAGATTGCCCGGCTTGAATAATCTATAAGCCTAGAATTTTCCATTTATATACCCCTAGGATCAATGCGCAACGTACAACTCAACACCCACGTCGTGAAATGTCACAGATGTGACCACATGAAAAAACTACCCGTGGAGATGTGTCCTTTAACTACGTCATACATTAGACACGGACAGTGCAGACTCCCACCTGACAATATAATAATTTTATTTCTGTGATGCTACAAATGGTTTTTCTTCGTTCTACACGGAGAGAAATATTTAGTAAAAATTACGGAACTTTCAGTTCACTTACCGATTACGGAGTTGATTCGAAAAATTTAAGTGACGGTATCGTTATTTTTCACCGATAATTCAGATAAAAATTATGGAACACCGCGGAAAAATTCCGTGACTTTAGATAAAAATTATGTGACAGTTCCGTAAAATTTCCGACAACCACATTTCGCTCCAGAATTACGAAAAATACACGTAATTCTTATTGAATATTTCTGTCAGTGTACATCCTCAACTAATCTACCCTACCCCTTAATCTACCCTACCCCCCTCTACTACATTTTATACTTTCAGCATTCCTCTCCTCCCATAACCCAACATAACATAATTTATTATCATAGCGTGGATTGTCTGTTTACAGTCCAATATTTTATTCTCCTATTCGCCCTTATTAAAGCCTTGCTTATATTTTGCACTTTTGGATAATTATTTCTTTTTACGCTTTTTTTACTGCCATGGATTGAGAGTAATAAACTCATCAAGCATGAGCAACTCATTTCATAGATTAGACTGTGCTTTTGTCAATGATTTAATATTCATCGGAAGTGGTGCCTAAATGATGGCATTTAGATGCAAGATAGTCGGCATAAGGTGCTTCAGTTACATCTTTGTTGGAGGAATTAGTGATTCGTGGATCGGTTGTGCTATTCTCAACCGGAGAGGAAACAGTAGGCAGGTGTTTTCCTTCGATTTCGATGAAGTTTATATATGCCGGAGAGGACTCAGGACTCAAAATTGAAGTTCACGTGTTTTTTTTTCATTTGCTAATAGACAGCCTCGAGGCGGAAAACTGGTTAAGAAAGTTAAATAAGTTTGAGGGTAACTCTTCAATTGCCCCCGTGGGTGTTTGCGCAAATGTGTATTATTCGAATAAATAGCTTTTGGGAAATTATGAAAATTACATTTGACAGTTCCATTGGGAATTGAAATTTGGAGGTCACATTCTGATCATCGTCTTACCCGTACTGGGAAGAAATATATCTTCCCTATATTTATCAAGATCAGGAAAGTATTTGGTCGTTTAATACGTCAAAAAAAGACGCGTGCGCCGTTTGATTTTGTTGTAATGATGGAGATGATCGATTCAAAAAGTGATTGGCAGGGCCTGTATCTATTTAATAAGTTATATGTATATCACAATTAGTTGCATACAGATTTTTTCAATGGGAAAACCGTCATTCAATCGGGTTCGTTCCTTTATTAATAAACCAGAGGTCTACAATAGCTTGTGACGATTTTCTGAAAGAATACTATCATCATTGCACACTATACCCACTCATAACTCCTAGATTTCATGGTTGAATTTATATACTTCAAGTCACCTCATTTTTTATGAGTGCTTGTGTAGATGCACGAGACCTGTCACTCCTCCTCCCTTCTAGAGGTATAACTTTTTTCAAAATTTATATTACATTAAATTTCTTAAATTCATGCTAGATATGATTCAATCAAAATCCTACCAGCTCTCGTCGTCACCCAGGGTTCGCGACGGGGACACAGCTGGTATGAACCCCATTATAAGGTCGACGTGGACCTTCCATGCTAAATTTCTATGTATATAAACTGAATATCTATGTATATAAAATGTTAAATTTCTATATATATAAACCTTGATCAATAATATATACTTTGATATCTCTTCGTAGGGTGGCTCCTGTGAATCTCTATCTTTGAAAGGCAGTGCATTGACTGGTAGTGATTCAGGTGTTCTCGAGTTGAGCGACAGCGGAGGGAGTGGTCCTCCAGGAGAATGGGATGCCGTGCCCGGAGTTGTTCGCCAATGTATTAAACATCTTGAAGCCACTGGACTGAGGACTTTGGGCATTTTTCGGGTGTCGCCATCGAAAAAGAGAGTTAGACAGGTGTGTGTTCGTATCTCATAATTATTCTGATAATTTATTGTAATTCAAAGTATTCAATAAGTAAATGCAGAATTGAGTGATTTTTAATCCAGCGACTCATTCATGAAAGATTTAAAAAACCGGGATTCCCGTGAAACAATCAAAATTCTTTCCCAATGAGAAAAACATTCTGCTCCCACTATAGTTGAGTCAGTTCGGTATTTTATTTGGAAGGCAATTATAGTGTGATGGAGTGTATTATAAAAATCAATCATTTTTTAAATAATTATCTGTATCATAAGCACTGCAAGCGGAAGTTTTTGATAAGTGTAGGCGCCACAGACGGGATGCAGCAAAAAATAATCGATTGTTCGAATCGAATCGGATTGACCCATTCATATCGACCCTGGGAAAATCCATGTTTTTTCTCGATTTTCCTTCCTATTTCTTACGCACCACAGATACAAACTTGCTTTTAAAAATGATCGAGAAATAAATCTCGAAATGAAATGTTAATAGCCGAGAAAGTTTGATAACTGCATTAGAATAGAACGAAGTTAACTAACTAATTTAGTAACTAATTCTGTCATGTTTCAACTTTGGCTTCTTAATATTCATAACATCATAAAAACCTTTCAAATATGCAACATTATCATTCTAACGAATTTTTACGGGCAAGACAACGTTGAATAATTTATCAATTTTAACCACGTTTATGGTAAAATAATTCGTAGGTGTTGAGAATGGGCAATCAAAGTTGGGGTTGAAGGAGTCGAAATAATGATGATATTTGATGGCGTGTGAGAATTTAGGAAAATGAGGAGCGGATGCCCGGGGTTCGAGGAAATTTTTTTAGAATGAGTTCGGCATCTTTTTTACATATTTTTATCCAACGACCATATCACGTTGTGTACGCCAGTTCTCGTCCGATCACTGAAGCTAAGCAACGTTGAGCGTGGTTAGTACTTGGATGGGTGACCGCTTGGGAACACCACGTGCCGTTGGACCTTCTTTTTTTTTTCCAAATTATCAATGATAAAACTGCAGATACTCCATTTGTCTACTACCGAATCTTTCATTTTTTATTTTTCCAGTGATAAAAATGATGATTTTCAGACGCCAGTGGGGAAAATTAGTTTTTTAATTTGTGTTCTGAAAAGTATTATCTGACGAATGTGAGTTTATAAGCCGAGACGAGGGTGTGTATTATATTCTCAGGAGTAAAGTCATATTTTTCCACACTGCTTCTCACGATTTCTCGTCTTGGAATTAGTACTACATACTTCTCAAACTCGAACACTTGAAGATCACTACGGAAAAACAATATCCGGATTGGGATGGGGTTCTTTTTACTCGTTTGGTTCGCCTTCGGCTCTGCTCACCAAACTCCCCCACGAGTAAAAAACCCCATTCCAACAGTCTGGAAATATACTATTTCAGGCCACGTACTGGAAAAATCATTTTCCAGACTGGAACCTAGAGAACGCGGTCAAACCGAACGAGGGAGATTAGAATCGTCGTTTTTCGGGTCATGTAACGAAAATGATATTCTATCGTAATGATTTAATCGACGTCTGTTCCTATTTCAGTTGAGAGAAGATTTTGATTGTGGTAGAGAAACAAAAATCAGTGCTGATCAGTGTCCACACGACGTAGCAACATTGCTGAAAGAGTATTTCAGAGATCTACCAGATCCTTTACTCTGCAGGGACTTATATCAGGCGTTTGTTCACACGCAGAGTAAGCAGTAGGCAATAATGATGAATATGTAGATAAATAATGGATAATCTTTCGCATAAACCATGCTCAACCAGAATATCTTTCTAATCATTAGAAATCCGGAACAGACGTCTGCAGCAAGAAGCTCTTCAGCATCTTATTCAGCTTCTTCCAATAGCCAACCGTGAAACACTCTTTGCCCTTCTGAATTTTTTAACCGAAGTTGCCACAAATAGCGACGATATCGAGACGGCGACTGGTGATTGGGTGCATGGAAATAAAATGGATATAACGAATCTTGCTACGGTAATAATTGGAAATTTAATCGAATTGTTTTTCTTAGTTAAGGTGTGCATGCTCTATTTATTGAACGTAATCTTTGACGGGAATTTCATTGATTGAATTTGAATTCAAATAGTCTGTCAAGAGTTACCCATGGCAAGATTTTTGCTCTTTTTAATCCTCATTTTTTAAAATAACCATTGAAAGTTTCCACGATAAAAATTGAAACTCAAATTTAGAAATATTTCAGCTTAATAAGATAGAATTCAAACGTAACATTACGTTCAATAGATATTACATGCGCGTGTTGATGTCAATTATAGGAAACAATATGGGATTTTATGTAAGACGAATAAAACGTTGACGGTTGATAAATTTATCAAGTATTTCAATGTTATGTTTAAATTCAATGGGAGAACTATAGATTTCTGCTGTTCTAGTTGATGCCACTACTATTGAACTGAATTGTCATCTCTTTCTGCTAAGGTTTTTGCTCCAAATATACTCCACTGCGTTAAGCCCGGCCAAGCTCGATCTGAAGTATCAGCAGAGAGAGCGGAAGAGAGAATAGACGTGATAAATGTTATGCGTGCATTATTGGAAAACGCCTCATCCCTCTTCACACTACCGGCAGCACTTCTCGATGAGCTTTATCTTCACATGATGGACTCAAATCCAGCAGATCTCGATCTTGCACTGTCTCGACGTGCTGAGGAGTGAGTTTTATTCATTCATATCCATTAGTAAATAATCCGCGCCCCTAACGTTCTATTTTCCTTCGGCTTATGGGATAATTCCTCTCCTCCTTGCATATTGAGGGTATATATAGTGATTTATGTGATCTCTAGATGAGAATACGATGATTACAGATACTTACTGACTACTGGCTATTACTGACTTTTAGGTACCTCGATGTAGTCTTTCTATTTCGACTTTTTAACGACCAAATAATTTCTTCTATTTCAATTTTTCTTCTTCATTTTATTTAATTAAATTTATAATCTTGAAAAATTGACGATAACCATGCGAATTTTCAGGCAATGTGGCGAAGATGTTGATCCTTGCAGTGAAGCTGAGACATACTCAGTGGAAGAAACTATAATCCCTCCCGTACAAACAGCAAAGAAAATCTGGTCAAGGGAGCAATGCCTGCACCAAATGGCAGGAGTCGGTGGTGAAATTGGACCGAAGCCAAGGCGCTCAAAGAGGCCAGGATCAAGACGAAAAGAAGAAGGAAGAAGCAACAGCATAGACAGCGGCTCCAGTGAAGATCACCTAGATCCGAGGAGAAAGTCCTCTCCAATGGTTATAACTGCTTCTCTCACAATACCAATGTCTGGCGCTTTCACTCTCAACCTAGATGATCCCGACATCCCCTATATTGAAGAACAACCCAAGCAGCCGTTAGCACCTCCACGAAGACAGAGACAACGTTCGATATCTGGATGTAGTGAAGGTGAATAGATTTTCTGGCATTTACATTCACATCATTAAATTCGCTGAGCTATAAATTTAGCAAGTCCCTTGAAATCATTGTTTTTTTTATAGTCATCTCAATCGTTTCTACAACACAATTCACACAGAAAATGTCAAAATATTTTATACTAACCACCTAAAATTCAAATCTTTGATTTATGACGTTCGATAGATAGAACATGCAAGCCTTAAACATCATTTTGTTAAAATTTTGGCAGTTGTTTTTTGAACGATTTCGATGAACGCCAATAGATTCAGAAACACCAATCGCCTCAAAATCGACTCAATCGCCTAACATCGATTGTTTGCAAACTAATCAACTAATTGCAGTAAATTATCGTCGAAATTCATTGAAATTCAATTATTGAGAGACATCAATTTCACAAGTACCGGTACATATTTACGGATTCTTTATCAAGTTTAATATTTACCGATGAAAATGTATCGTTCGGGTGTGAAAGTGAAACCTGGGTAGCGGAACGCGATGATTTGCTGCAAATTCCTGTTTTCTCGCGGGAAACTTCTCTATCACGGTTTCCTGAATAAAATAATAATAATGAACAAAAACTATAATATAAAATTTTATATTGCATAAAGAAATTAAATCAGTTTATCATGGGTCTTTCTATATAATATATGAATCACATAGATATATGTTGTGATTCATTTTGAGCGCTGCAGCGCTAATTATGTAATTTTAATTTAATTTATTCAATTTAATCTCAATCATTAACCGAATCGATTTGAGACTGAAATTTTCCCTGATCTATTTTTATAAATATTGCAGATTTTTCTTGTTTTTAAAATTCTTTGTATATGAGCATTTACTCAAACGCCGCCGGTCGGTTAAGTTGACCCCATTACAGGCCTGACCTTTAATTCACTTACTGCTTCTTCTTTTAAGCCGTATCCTTACATGACTACTCCTCTTCTTTTTTTTACACTGCTGTATTTTATTTATGTTCACCTTCACGTTTTTGTTATTTACCTTCATTTTTACTTCATTGTATTCCATTTAAGCTCCTAAACAATAAATGTATTATTATTATCTTCCCTTATCTTAGATATTACCTGAGCTATCGATAACTTGTTGTCGGCAGTCTGATTGTCCTCGATATCATTGAAAAATGTAATGTTTGGACATTATTGTGAATAGGCGGTCGTCATGGAAGTGACAGTGCTGTGGGCTCTTCGGTAACGCTCTCAGGAGATCAACCACCCAGTTCACCACCCTCTTGGGCATCATCTCCTCCGGCGAGTCCCGATAGTGCAGTTACTACGGTCTCCTATATACCAGATCAACAGGCAGTTCTCCAGAGGGTGTCATTTACAACGTCCAGTGAAGTTCGACAGATCACCAGGTCCATCAGTCAAGAAACTTCGAAAGCATCAGCTACACCTGCTCACACACCTAGCATTACAAGCATTGGCGGCGCTGTTTTAAGGTACGTTTATTCTAATGATGTAAATTTATCGAAATCATTTAGATACAATATACCTCGCCAGGATAAAAGCATATTAAGGATCTTTAGTAATTTGCAGCGAATCTGTTCTCTTTTTCATATTCATAAAAAATTCTATGATTTTTTTCTTCCAAATGAAAGTTGTAATCGATTATTTTTCCAATTTTATAAGTTTGTCTCAAAATGATGTAGAAGATTATGAATCGTGAAAATACGAAGTTTCAGGTCAATGTGCGTGTGTATGGCTGTATGTGTGCGCGGCTTCTTCGATTTTCAGAAGAAGAAAGATCCATAAAACGGTGTAAAATTGAAGCTCAAAATATGAAATTTTGTAGAGTACTAGGTATTATATGGACTATATCTATTCTAAATTTCGGATCGATTGGTCAAATTTCCAGATATAGCGATTTTTTAAAAATCATTTCTTCTCGAATATCTTTTTTGACCTGTCCATTTTGCCACAGCCTCCCCATATAATTAAGAAGGTAATGGTTCTACGTGTAATTAACCCGTCTTACTTGACACATAAGTCGTTTAAAAATGAGGACGAGAATGAGGTGCTTATTCTAAGTTGTCCATTAAACATACACTGTACTCCAGGTCTAAAACCGCTGACATTGAGAGGATGCTGCACAATGCGAGACCCGAGAGTGCAGTTTCTATACAGTCAAAGGGCACAGGCTCCATCTCAAGCCCAAATGACAATAAAAAGTATACAAAGAGAAGATACACAGACTCGAGGCATCAAACACGACATATACCAGACGCTGAGAGCCTCGCTGGCAAGTCCTCCTCCGCAATCACGATTTCCCAGAGCTCTACCACAAATACCATCCAAACTCAACGAACAAGCAGCGGTGGAACTACGACGCCAGTCTGGAAGCGTCGAGAATTGATCTCTTCGGCACCCAAAGAACGACAAATTTTCTGACGGAATTTGCATCCACTCATGCACATTCAAGTTTATTCACATGATCTCGTCGTCGTGTTTGACGTACTCTGCCAAGTTTCGTTCAATCGAGCGCAAAGTGTTGATTAGGAAGTTGAATATTTCGTGACAAAATATTTCTATCACCATTTTATTCGACTTTCTTGATTTTTTTTTTACTATTTGACGTCCCTATCTCCTCCCGGCGAGGAGACCCGTGTGATCGTCATATCACAGAGGTGGTTATCAATTTGTTAAGTTTTTAACATGTAAATTCGAATGAATAAATAATTAATTTTTCTACAAATGTCTTTTATATTTTTGTCCCTTTTTAGCATTGGGGATACAAGCGGGGGATATTAAAAATTGAACATTTATTGAATGTTTCAACTCAAATGTGAAACTTTTCTACTAATGTAATCAATCAGACTTGCTCAATAGAACATACGTAGTATTGGGATCTTCGACAAAAGACTAGTGAGAGGAGAGTTGATATCTTTCAGTTGACTGGGCCAGCAAGCCGCTCAAATTACTCCATCACAAATATCATTTATTTAGACTTTAATTCTCATCATTGCGATGTTCTTGCATTATTTTATTTTATTTTCTCAGTTGAATATTGTATTATATTAATCAAGGCAGTCATTGAAAATTGGTTGGTTTTCAATTAAACAGTCAAAGCTACATCTACATTGGTGCGTGAAATCTGTGTAAAACAGATCTTCTCCATCGACGAATCCACAAATTTCTTGTGTAAACATTCTCATTTTTAATTATTTCATTGACTTCTTAAACTCACGAAAACAACCCTTAACCCTTTAAGGGTCGTTTTAGTGAGTTTGAAAAGAGTATGTCGACAATTTTTGGATGAATTGCCGATGCCCTATCAGATTTGGGATGATACTAACAAAAAATTGTTATCTGGGAAAGAAAACTCTCTTTCGCTATTTCTTTGGGTTTACCCACGTTAAAATTAATGCACGTCTCCATCGCAGATCCCAATATCTAATAATATGTATTTGGATAACAGGATTGAGGGGAAAAATGCCAGAAAATTCACAGAAAAAGAAGTAGATTCTTCCTATAGTTAATAACAAAAACAATACTTAATATCAATATCAATAGTTTTTTTGTTTTAATTATTATCTCACTCATGAATGTGACGTGTTTTTCTACATACAAACGCGATTATGAAATTTCAATTTCTTGTACATATATATCTATTTGACAAATGTCACTGTAAATCGCGTTTTAAATGTGATGAATATGTAAACAATTTGATATTTGTATATATTAGAAGGCTCCCAACAAAATATATATATTTATATAAATCTTCTTTATCGAGTCGTTTGACGACAAGATTATTATATTATGTAGCTGCCTACTTAGGGCTATGGACGGATGCGATAAATTTTGTAATCATCGAAAAAAATTACAAATATCCTTAACTCCACACGTATTAAGATTGGAGAATGAGATACGAGTATTCGTCGAAATAACTTTATCATGAATTTAAAAAAAAAAAATGGAATACTACGTATTCAGAAGTCTCCACTATCACAACGCGTTTTTGATTAGTTCCTCCGCTGCTATGCAGAAAATTTCTACTTGATATTTTAAACTTCTGTCGAGTGGGTTTGAATGCGGACTTTCTTTTGAGATCCATTTCTCGTCAGTGTTGGACTGTGCGTTGAGAATCCAGGATTTTGGATTCCAAGGGGTTTTGGCTTCTTTAATGAACTTCTCAGGGGTGAAGCTGTACTTCCTACACTTGCTGAGGTCGTCACGGAGGCCATTGAGCCGTTTCCAGCACCTGGTCCGTAGGGTTTTCCACTTGCATCAGTCATTGATATGCTTCCACCTATGATGATAATCCAAATATTAGTTGATTTTCATTGTCACTAGTATTTGGAGCGTACTTTACGCGTCTGTGATCATCATATCGGTGTACGTGCAAAAAAAATATATTCGATAAATAAAATCTGTATAACAATATATTCAATATATTCGTCATGCTTGCTTTTTCATTCTACAATAAAACATAATGACAAATACATTAAGTTTAATAATTAATCAAATTCAGGCGTTGATCCAATCTACAATATTCGAGCTTGCGAATAAAATTAGTCATCCGGAGGAAATACCGGAAATTGTGGATTTGTCGAACACAATGCTCCCGTTCGCAAGTAAAAACATCATTTATACGAAGTGCCACTTAACCAAGTGTTGGAGATGAGCTGAAATAGTGGTGAAACGTGACTTCTATGAAATGAGGGGTTGCCTTCGATGAAATTGAAGCCGATAAAGTTAAGCTACACTCGAAGCATTAAGTTCAGTCGAACGTTCGCCAATTTGATAAATATTCAAAATGAAGAAAATTGTCTTCCACAACCCCAAGGAAAGAAAATACATTTTCACGGTTGATGAAATGAAGCCCCTTTCTGTTTACCCTTGCTGAATGTTTAAAAACGTCAATTAGATGAATGCGAGGTCGTTGGAAGAAACTCCCCCTAGGTACGGGGGAGTTATATTGAGAAACATGAGGGAGTGATAAGAGAGTAGAGTAGGTGCCTCCGACAGCCTAGTTAAGTGGTTCTTCACCAGTGGTTGGCCCATTGTTTTGGCTGTCGCTTGAGCAAATTCCCTGGGACAGAGCAATTTTCCAAGACAACGAAAGTTCTCTCGTGATATGCTAACCGAGACCAAGAAAATTCTCTTTGTTTACTAATAACGAGATCCATGGGGAGAATATTGAACGAGCAATTATGAAATTCTTGGAAGCCATCGGCGGTAATGTAAAGTCTTTCTAGGAATTTGTGAACATAATATTTATGCAAACTGTTTCGCCACTGCCAATTTAAATCCACTGCCAATTCCTCGTTATTCAGAAACCCCAAAAATTATACGCCACTTTATCATCAATATGTATTATAAATCGTGTATTGATCTTGAAAAAGTAAAAATAATTTCTTTCCTCATTTTAGGCATTTTGCAGATATTTACAGAAGGAGAAAAGTGAGTATTAATTATAAAGAGTGGAATATAAATTACAGTCAAAAACTTGTGAATTAAAAAATTCAAATACCTATAAACGATATTAGAATGGCAATTTGTGAGATTAAACCCCGTAATTGCCAGTTTTAATTTCCTAATTTTCTTTCTCAAACTAGTAAATTACGTTTTCAGTTTGGTAAACGTTTACACTTTAGAGTGCAATTAGCTTTGCTCTCCGCGCATAATCTGCCGGTGGCTGCACATTGAAATATAAAATATAACGGCACTCACGCGTAATTTTCGTTTTTCATACATAATTACAAACCTGATCTTCGGCTCGGTTTGTAAACCTCACGCGGGTCAAAAATTGAATCAACCCCCTACTTGATGCGAAATCCCGCAAGGAAAAAAAAGATATATAATCCAAAAATTCTGAAATGCAGTTTTTTTGGCACAATTATATCTCAAATATATTAAACCCACAGTTTGAATATATTTTGAACGCGAGCGGTGAGATATTTGTGCACAGATATATCAAAAATATATCTCGGATAATGCATTATTTGTGGAAATGTGTGCGACATTTATCCGGATATTATATTGGCATATATTTCGGGATATATATTTTTAATGTGGGATATATCATTTTAATTTCGTGATTTAGCTTGTCAGTCCGGAAATTGTAATTGACATTCAAGTTTTTTCGTGTGTATATACAAAACCGCAGTTGATACCAGTAAATTTATCACCGAATGAATATGATATATTTCCAGTTGAAACGTAATTTTGAAGGAAATTGAAAAAAAAAAACACTCACCATTCGTAGGCGGATGCTCCCGATACCCTGGATTATTGATGGTGGTTGATCTCATATCAGCAATGTCTCTCAATTTCGTAGGGTCTCCACCCCGCCTCGCATAGATACCCTCATATATCGACGACACAAGAACCCCCAAATTCAGGGCGATCGCTCCTAACTGGAAAAGAACATATTTCAAAGGTTATAAAAGTGACAGAAGGTAGAGGGAAATTGACACGCATCAAGGAGACGAGACCAGAGGATTTCAGATCAACACTTTATCGTAGAAAGTGTCCTACGAAATTTGACGTAACGTAAATCAAAAAGAAATCTCATTTCAATGATAATAATCGAAGTAAAATTATTGGAAATTTGCCGTTCAAAACTGAGATAATTAATTGGAATCTCGCTCTTTGAAGTGGAAAATTTGTTGAGATCAACTGACGCGTTGCGCAATTATTTTCCTCTTGCACCCACTGAAGCGAACGGAGAAAATCAAGAAAAAGGGGATTACTATTACGGAATTTTTATTTGAATCAGTTATTATTCTATTCCGAGTATTTGTCAGTGTAAATCATTGATGTTAAAGTTCATACGCAGTACTCGACAGTGAGTATGCACACCATCTTAGAATTCCGACACCCAAAAAAATCGGTGTTACAAGATGGTACTCGATGAAATACCCCATACATCCCGAATAAATTTACGTAGTAACGGTATTGACATGTATCTAGTATATACTTGACATATTGCATTGATGGCCAGAATATATCCGCGTATAATTAATATCCATTTCACATAGATATTATGCATTCGGTGCGAACAGTATACAATAGTCAGAAAATTGATTCACTCAGAGAATATATGTGATGAATAGCTTTGGCCGCCCCTCAAGAGCTGTATCGCCCCTAGTAACTCATTATATTTCTCATTTTGCTTTGAACGCAGCTCCAGCATCGAGAACAATTTCTCTCGCAACACATGTTCTTCTGGTATGAATTGTGGGTTCTGAAAACAGCCAATGTAGGTGCAAAAGCACAATCCACAGAATACGATAAATAGCGATCTCAGTAAGGGGATGAATGAGCCAATCAAGTCGAAATGTCTGTTACAGGGACACCGAGGAAATCCTTCAGGATTATTTCATTTTGTTTGATACAAGATGCCACAAGAAACACCAAGGCAACACTAGACCAATCGATACCAATCGATATCAATTCTCTTGATAAAGAAAGGGGGGCACGTTCTCACTTAAACGAACGAAATAAGATAGAACTGCTTCACTAGTCTCGAACGAAAATTTTACTCCGCCTGATAACGCCGAGCCTTGACCTGCGGAATATTTAATACAGATTTCCATTGGATTCAATTTGATTGCCCTCCCGCGAATTCAAATGCTAATGCAAGCACAACAATCTTGTAATAGGTTCTCGCTTCATTCAACTGCATTAAGGGGTGAGTACCCACGATGACTACAAAAGATATACAAAGAACCTTTTACCCCATCCTAACATAATATCGCTTTATTTATAATAAAAAATGTCTTTGTATGGATAAACACATCCAGATAACATCAGCATGCAATTTTACTAGACTGGAAGGAGACTGATCTTTCTTTAAAAAATCGTTGTCACACTCAGTCAGCTCATACTTTCACATATCAAAGCCTGCCGTTTTTTTGTTTAAAAAATACACATGATATACATGAGTTCGCGGAATTCGCTTACAAACAGTTGTTGTGTCATCCCCAGATTTTCATCCCCATTAAATTTATGAAAATATTCAAAGGTAGATACAAAAATTGATTAGGCCTCCTCAATACAAGTAATGAAGAGAGTCTCAAAATTTTAATTTTAGAAATCGTCGAAAAATCCGGAAAATGATCTACAATATTGAACTAGTAGAATCAAGAATAATAAAATATACTCATCTTATGTAGCACGTATAAACTCAAATTAAGTATAAAAAAAAAATATATACTTGATTGAAGTATATTTTTTTCGTGCATTGTCAATGAATAAAATCAATAGCAGAAAGGAAAATAAAAAAATAAAGCAAATAAAAAAGATTCAGAAGTAATACAAGTAAGTTTTAAAAGATAATTCTGAAGTTGAATGAAATGTATACCGAGAAAATGCGGGTGATTAATGCAATAATGTACCTTCCCCTGCTTCTGCCTCTGCTTTCTTTCTAAAGACAAATCATCCTTAGCCTCCATCAACAAACTCCTCCGTCTTTTCACACTCATTCCACCTACATAACTTGAATAATCCACAAGTACGAACACCAACCGGATGCGAATAGCAACGAACTCGATGGACGATTATCGAGCTGAGAATTGCTCGACGTTATTAATCGGCTTTCAAGCACATTGATAATGCCACTCACATAACAATTGATGGCGCGAAATAAGCAACAATGATAATTAAGAATCGAGAGGGCACCTGCGGATCACGAACATCCACAGGTGCCCCAGGTGTTCCTCAACGACTCATGACAACCTCACAACTCGCCTTAGCATTTTCATTTTGTTCATTCTTATAGTCTAACGCACACATAAACACATACACACCCCCACGTGCACTGATTGTTCACATTGGAAATCAAAGTGGCCTTTATGCTGGAGTAAACGATCCGCGACCCGGAAATTACGCAATCTCTAGTGTTATCGTGCTGTTTGTCCTTGAGCAAACGCTGGAGAAACCCAGAAAACCATTACAATTGTCATGGCGTTACCCATACTGTATTATTCCAAATTGTTCGATAACCCACGACCTTGGAGTTAAGTACTTGTGGAACCATAATTTTTTATGTGATTAGTGTGGTTTCTTCATTTCAAATGATATCATGCAGTCTTATCAATCTCCTGATGGAATATTTAGACAGATGTGCGTCTCCACATCATGTGCCAACTCAATAAATTTTTTGAAAACGTGTCAATTGAACTGCAAAATCCAGTGGAGAAATTCGAGTACTAAATAACCGCACTTGGATGTTAATCGACGAAACTTATTATAGATCGGCCGCTAATTGTTATACCGTTAGTCTGGGTTTTGGGGGAGTGAAACTTTTTGATGAACTGATGATTTTAATGAGTCTTAAACAGACGATAACGATTGGGGGAAAAAAACTTAATAAATCATGTCGAATGAATTATCCCTGGAAGTTCTAACTGCGCTACTCAATTCATGATATTAACATAACTTCCGGTGTTATTGTTTATGTGGCTTTCAATTTTCAAGGCTGCACTTTTCTCACAGTACACCGTGTGTGATACGATGTATTGATTTTGGAACGCGCTGAACAAATACATCACGAAATTTCATTTCAGTAAGCGGAGACAGAAGTATTAAATTCAATGGTATTTCTTCAACTTCGGGGATAATGGATCGTTATGATCCATCACTCGCAGAAGTCTGACGTAGATTGTTAACTGAAGCTGGACTGTTGACGAATTACACTTGAAATAACAAGTAAAAAGAACTTGAAATTTTTAACAATGATGAAGTGACATGAAGATTCTTGGGAATTCTTGATCGATAAAAGAGTTAATATCTTCAATATTCAGAAAATTCTCTATTTTCGGGTCCACAAAGTGTATGTGGTTTTCAATGTTGAATCGATTGAATTTTCACGACGACTCAGAAAATTGAAATTTTCATTGAAAAATAAATGATCATTAAACATGAAAACGCCAATTTTCTTGAATTTCCAAGATAAACGAGAAATTCACTGAAGTTTAGTAGAATTCGAAATGTCTTTCATTGAAAAACTCCAACGACTTTTGTTATTTTTGTTATTTTCAATATTTTAAATAATTATTTTGAGAAAGAGTAATTTGTCGATGTTTACCTGCATGTAAAAGGCTTCACCTCTCGTTACAACAAAACTGTTTGCTCGATCGTCCGTCTGAAGAGCAAACAAACTGGCAGCAACGATCGAGAGGCAAGCTAGAATGAAAAATAAGAAAATTAAAAGACTCTGAATAAAATATCGAAAGATTTCCCGTGGGTGGTGAATGCTCTTTTTTCAAACTCAAGTTCATTAATGTATAAAATCGTTAATGTTTATAATTAGGGCCTGGTATTCAGCCCAAGGAGATAAAGAACTATGGCTTGAGAGCCTCGGCGAGGGATAATTCCGTGTGGGAGTAAGTACGAGGTAAACTAGTTGCGGGAAAATCCACTGGATTGTCTTCCATACTGCGGAATTGCATTCCCAGCGCATGTAATGGATATTTACTTTAGCTCGTTCTGTAATTTCATTCAATCGCAAAAACCAGAGGATGAGTTTTTGTATTTAAACTTTATGGAACTGGTGTAAGAGATGTACGTGTCGGAAAGAGAAGGTGAATGATCAGATAGCAGGTCGGTTTACATCTGTAACGGAAGACTGATATTGGTCACTTGATATTCAATTTCCTACCTACAATTATGGTTAATCTAGGCCACGCAGTTATTAACTTTTCATTTTTATTTTTCACCTGTAAAAAGTGGTCATTAGAAATTTTTCATTACAAAAGTGTAAAATTGTTGCTTAATTGTATCTTTTATGTAGATTTTCTGTGAATAAGTCAATGAATATTTTCCAGGGAACTTTCGAGGTGCCCTTTGATAACGTCCTCGCCGAATTTACGATCGTTCACACCGCGGATGAGTTCCAACTAATTTTTTTTTAATCTGCGTTAAATTTTATTTATTTTATCATTCATCTCATAATTTATGTTCTTAATTTGATAATTTGCGGATTGTAATTTTGCAATTTACAAGGTCGAACTTTATAAATGGCCTATTCAATCTCCTAATTAATTTTTTTCCTCTCGTACTGAGAAAAAAATTGCTTATACTACAAAAATCAAATTAAATTATTATTGCCAAATAAACTGACTTGTCAAAGTAATAACTTTTCTCATGAAAATATTTATCTTTAATCCTGTAATTTAGCTTTTCAAACCCTTAATTGAACAATTCGAAATCATAATTAACGATTAGATTTTTGTGTGTTCCGAGGAGAATTCACATCTCTTTCACTATGTCTCTCCAGTCATATGAATCCCACTCCTCATTTTCCATCTCTGCCCCTCCCTTTCAACTGATTGTCTGACTAATACAGGAATACTTACTAGCTAGTGTTGCAAGAGCCACTTTGCCGATGACAGCTGAACCGTATGAAATGACGACACGTTTCGCTGAGGAAGCCATTGCTAATTGTAGAACAGCTAGACCCACCAGAATGGCCAGGGTGCAGGTGGCTCCTACTGCCACTAATCCTGCCACCCATACTGCCACTACAAATGTTAATAACTGAATATGTTAATCAAAAAATAAATAGAGAGAATAAAGGAAAATGTGCACAATTCGACTAAATCATACACCGAGAAAAAAAAGCATCGATTTATTGAACACATACATTAATGATTGAAATTTGCAACGAACTGTTTTTATTTGTGTCGCGAAATCGCGAAAATTGGGAAATCATTGCAAAAACCAAAAAAGGTTGCAAATTATTGAACCAATTTAGCCTGGAGGTTGGGAGGGGGGACGATGGCAAAATTGTGAAAATTCCAAAAATGAATACCTGGGTCAAATCAGTTATCGATGATCTTGTTATCGACTAGCCGGTAAAGTAGGGAAAATCCTCGAGTTAACGATGATCGTATTGACCTTATGTATTAGAAATATTTGAAAAAATAATTCTTCTAGTTATTCGTATTCTGAGATTTCTGAAATTTTTTAAGCGGTATCAAAGTAATTCAATAATGCTTAAAAAAAAATAAAATTGGCTACATTTTATGAATATCCTATTGGTGTGAATGCAGATGGTTGACTCCGATAATAAAACTTTACAGTTTTTGATACACGAGATCTACTGCGCACTCCGTGCGCCGAATTCGAATTTCGACTTCGGATTCGAGTTGACCAATAGGGAATCAGTCTTACGAGTTTCGACTCAGGCGAACTTCATTTACGTATCTCTGCTTTCATGATAAGGATTGCTTTAAATGGACTGTCGAAACTGATAGCAAATGAAGAATAAATAGGTAATATATAATATAATAAAAGTCACGGTTGCAAATATCAAAATTGAATGAATTGTCAATTCAAATTAGTCGCCTCAAACGATTGCGAACCGCTTCCGATATCGATAATTTGCGAGTTCCACGGTTTAGCCTTTTCAGAATGGAATAGAATTTGCGAGAATTTTTTAATAATCTTCGTAATGTGGGGAATAACCCATAATAGTTGTAATAGTAACTCCTTTGAAGGAGTGATAAGTAGTAATAATTTCGATGTCGAACTGTGCAACAGAATTAGGAAATTGATAAACATGAAGACTTACACACTGGTTGAAACCTCGAGAAGTTCTGACCGCATCTCTCTCGGTTGTAAAGCAGGAGTTTGCAAACTCTCCAAGGGCCAAAATATCCTCTTTCTGCGGCTGTTCCAGCTGGAAAGACAAAACACAAGATATTTTACTTTACAACGAAATTCCAATCGGATTACATATCGAATCGTCGGAGAATCTAATACCATTCAAGAGGATCTGGAATGGAATCCAATTTGAAACCAATCTAGCATTTAAATGACTTGTCCTTACGACAATTAATCAAATTAATCCCGATTATGTGGTGGAGAACGGATTAAAAATAGACTGATTGGTAACCGATTTCGCGGTAGAACGTTAATTTCAGTCGTAATTTTAAATTCTGTTCTTGAAGTGCCTGTCGTATTCACTTTGCCACCCAAATCGAATGTTATATTGTGCGAGAGCAGTGGCAACATGATACTCAATCGACACCCAAGGATTCTGTCTCTCACGGTGATCGATCTTTCCCAATCGTTCCGCTTCAGAGACGTTCGGATCAAGATTACACTTCAGAGAGTCGAATCTGTATCGCTTTCGTTATCAAGCTAGTCTCTTCTTTTATCTCAAAGCTGACATTTTCTCTGGATGAAGGATTACACCGATTTCATAAATTTATCAAAAACCCATTCCATTTTTCTATAGTTCCAAATAAAAATAGTTAGGAAAAGAAATATGTACTTGTAATATACCACACGAGTTTCAGGTTTCATTAACGATTCCCGCGCAGGGTTCACAGCTAGAATACAGCTGGTGTCAACCCCACAAGGATTGAATCCTACCCGATTTTTGATTTCACCTTTATTCTTGATTTGACTTAGTTTTGCAATTTAATGGTAAATTATTTCAGTTTTTTAGAAAAATTCTCAACGTGCGTTATAAAAATTCAAAAAATATCAAAAAATCGGACCAGAAATTTTAATTCAATAAGATTTCAAATTTGAGAATTTAAAAACTCTCGTTCAAAAATTTAATAATAAAAAATATATGAGGTATAATGAGAAAACAAAAAGATTTGTTATAAAGGATGCATGTACTTGCGAGAAGTATGTATTCCATTTGTGGTTTTCTCCCCTCATTATTCTCCAAATTCATTCGATCATGTGTGAAGAGAATATAAGATATATATTTATATATTTCAAATTCTCAAATTGGAAACATATACATACTATACATACTTCTTGCGAGTAAATGCATCCTCGATAAGAATCTTTTTTTCTTAGTGTGCCTTCTATATTTTTTATTACTACATTTTTTAACGAGAGATCGCTTGCTCTTTGGAGCATAAATGATTCTTTCTAATCCTCTCCCAAGGGACATTGATCCATTGATACTCCTACTTCTTCCCACCGTCATTTTTTTTTTCTTTGTGATAAACTTGACCGCAGTCTCGTTCGATTTACCGTAAGACGGAAGTTACCATCTACTCCAGATCTTAGAGCTGCAGTTTGAACATTCAAGCTTTCGCTCTCCACCACTAGTTTGAGATTCAATTGTAATTTTCATCAGGGACTTTATCTTAAAGTAAAATATTTGACTGGGGTCAATATCGGGTTCATTATAAAGTGAATGGTTTTCTGGAGAAGATGAACGGAATTTTCGCAAGGAGGAATGTCAATAACTTGTTGGAAAATTACACTTGAAATTTCAGGTAAAAAACCTTCAAATCGTTAACAACAACAAACGGACATGAAATTCCTGTTGAATTTTCATTTAAAAAATTGTGTTAAAAAAATAGTGGCTCACATTAATTAACTAATTACCGAAAAATGAAAAATAATTTAACATGAAAACCCCGATTTTCTTAAATCTTCAAGGTAAATGGAAAATCCACAGATTGTTATTAATTAAAATTCAATTCAAACTCGTATAATTAAAAATTTATTATATTTATTATTTATTATTTTTCATAGTGTAGAAGTTTCTTTAACTTTGTAAAAAATGTTGTTAAAAATAGTCAATCTTCTAGAGGTCATTCATAGGAAACACTAATGGTATCCGACGGACAACAGATTACTCAACAGTGAGAACCAATACTGACATTTGAAAAAAAAATTATCACTCTCGGTTGCAGCGTAATATGCCTGACTGGTATTTACTAAAGACTTGAAAACTCTCAGGTACGAAAAGGTAAATCATTCAGTCTGTTGCGTGACCCAGATGCGCACAGATGTGTATCGTATACTTATACTATGTAATCACACTTTTAGAATGTCATTGCCTCGAATTACTCCAAGACGGGATGCATCAATCAATTAAAACGTCACTGTTTCGATGTATAAATGAAAATAAATAACTTCAAACTCACAGCACTTTCATTCTCACGGGCTTTAACACACTGAGGAGAAATTTAATGTGTCCGATACCCCGGGGCAACTTTTCACTACGACAATGACTGTCCGAGTGATGAGCGAACATACATTAATAGTCAGTATCACAACAATATCTTTTCTCTTACAAAAAGCAATAGTTTCTAATGAATAAAATGAGTACTGAGGTATTGTTCAAGCCTCCAACTCCTCATTTCACCTGCCACTTCTTTGAATTCATGTAATGAATTACGTCGATTGCTCGATTGGTCAAATCTATTGCGAAGTCGTAAATTGATCTGACTAAATAGTGGCCTCGAACAAATGTACAATCCGATTCTACCACTTCGCTACTGAAATAACCTCTTTAAAAAACGTTACAACAAATAAACTATGCTCGTCATCAGTCTAGGTTGTCCTACACCATTCCCAATAGTTTAACCATTTCGCAGGAAAAAAAAAGAAAAATGTGGCTGTTTTTTCTAAACCCTTCACCATGGTTAATTAGTTTTAATTTCGATTTGAAGGTTTTTTAAAGAATCTAACGAAATGAGGATAATGAAATATGAGTATTTGTTCTGCGATTTGTCGCACATGAAAGGCATGCTTGCTATAAAATGCCGGCTGACGTTAAAGGATTATAGGCGTAGTGATGTGTATACCTGCAGAGTGTATCACAGTCGTTAATATAATGTGCTACTGGCAACGCTTGGAGATTGTCTGAATGGCTCAAACGGCGCAACGAATTGCATGATAGTTGAATAATGGAAAGTATACCCAGCAAGGTCTTTACGTACTGATTTCCGTACAACAGTCTGTTGCCCTGAGGCCTATATCGAGTATTTATAGTGCTGAGAGATAGTAATATACCGGAGTAATCGTATTGCAATACGTGCAAGCGTGAGAAACCTTGAAGAGGAGCGCTGAAATCAGTGAGTCATGCCCATGCACTCTCGTCATTTTCCTATTATTTTCTCTCTTCGTAATCATTAAAGAACTAATCTATTACACTCCAAGAAAATTGCTCTTCAAATTTCCAGTTAGAAATCCTGATTTTTTTGTGGATAAAACAGTGAATTTTCTTCAATATTTAATAAGATTTCATTTTTCAGGTTCATTTATTCATTAAACAAACAACGTGAGAATTCTAGTAAATTTTCTTCTGCTTTTTCAATCTGTAAATAAATCAATTGTGATGCTTAATTTTTGCATTATAATTTTTTTTTAGTTTGGGAAGTGTGCAGTACCAATTTCCAGATGAGAAATTCTGAGAAGCATCTTTCTGTAGCAATACTTCATTTTTGCTATTGTTTCAGCCATTTTCTAGACTCTTTCATCTTCTAAACTTTCTCCGCCTCTAATCTTTCATTATTCATTCCTTCCGATGACACGTTTTAATATCAATAAAGAATTTCAATTCATATCCATAATATTAGTATTCTATTCTTTAATTATCAAATTAATTTTGCAATGAAGGAATAGAATATTATTAATAAGGTGAGTATTGACGGAAATAATTCATTTTTATTAAAGGGTAATCAATAAAAAAGGGACAACAACGGTAGCAATGTGTGTCATACCTAGGCATTTTTTTAATCTGCGGTTCGAGGTGAGTCGAGAATACTTCCGGTGACTACCAGCCGGAACCCAACCGCGCTCAACCATTCCCCCTTTTCGCCACTACCTCGTACAAAATAACAAAAGATAATTCATCGAAACTAAATACTTATTCGCCTGGAACAATCAGCGGCAATATCTGACCAGCATCTATTTTCCAAAGTGTTAATTTTTTACTTGTTATCTTGAAAATAATCCAAAATAATGGATTACTTCCCGATTATGTCACTGCAAAATAAAACGAGTGTCGAATTTTATTAGATGAAAAAATATTACGGTACAGTTTAAGGAATTTTTCCGAAAAAGTTCACACTTCCAGTTATTTACAGGAGCCATATGAAACAAATCTCTAATTAAAACTGTCAAGCATTATCTCTCGCGTCCGAATTTTCAAGGAAAAAGGGGAATTATTTAAAGTTCGAGGTGCATTTATTGAACCCGTTAAAAACGGATCAGCCAGAAAGCGACGGGTTCAGAAGATAAATTGCAATAATGTAATATTAAATACACAAATGCTTTCAACACACTAGTTGGTGATAAATAGGGCATTTCTAATTGAATAATTTCCAGCTGATTCTGATTAGGTCCTGATAGTAATTATCATATTGCTTTAGAGCTAGAATGATTAGGTGCGACATGTGGCACTCCTCGATGTTCATGATCCCCTCATACCTTTTAAAAAATTTCGCATTTTCCAATTTCAGTGAATACCTCTTCGATTCTCGTGTTCCCCTGATACTTTTTCAAAAATTTAAATTTTTTCAATATCAGCGAATACCTTCTCGATTTTCATGTTCCCCTGATATTTTTCCAAAAATTATGAATTTCCACATTTTAGTGAATACCTCCGCAATTGTCATGCTCCGCTGATACTTTTTCAAAAATTCCGAATTTCCACATTTCAGTGAATACCTCCTCAATTGTCATGCTGCCCTGATACTTTTTCAAAAATTTCAAATTTTCCAATTTCAGTGAATACTTCCTCGATTTTCATGTTCCCCTGATACTTTTTCAAAAATTTCGAATTTTCACATTTCAGTGAATACCTCCTCAATTATTATGCTCCACTGATAATTTTTCAAAAATTTCTAATGTTTTGATTTCAGTGAAAACTTCTTCGATTGTCATGCTCCCCTGATATTTTTTCAAAAATTCCGAATTTTCAAATTTCAGTGAATATCTGCTCAATTTTCATGCTCCCCTGATACATTTTTGAAAATTTTGAATTTTTCACTTTCAGTGAATACCTCCTCAAATTGTCATGCTCCCTTAATACTTTTTTGAAAATTTCGAATGTTTTAATTTCAGGGAATATTAATTTTGTAACGCAGAAAATAATATTCACCCCGTCCGCTAATCCCCCTGACAACGGATCTGCTACAGAGACAGTTACCGAGTCGGCTGACGGGTAGACACCCCACCACTGCGTGTGGCCCACTCCCACTCTTGGGGTGCAGTACTGCAATACCAATGGGGTCACTCAAACCCCCAATGGTGGGGTGTCTGCCCGTCAGCCGACTCAGTTACTGCCTCAGTAGCAGTCGCGCTGTCAGGGGGATCAGTCGACGGGGTGAATGTTATTTTCTGCCTTACGAAATTGGTATTCACTGAAATTTGAAAATTCGGAATTTCTGAAAAAGTATCGGGGGAGCATGAAAATCGAGTAGGTATTAACAGAAATTGAAATTTCGAATTTTTCAATTTCAGTGAATAACTCCTGCATTTTCATGTTCTCCTGATACGTTTTCAAAAATTTTGAATTTTCACATATCAGTGAATACCTCCTCAATTGTCATTCTCCACTAATACGTTCTCAAAAATTTTGAATTTTCACATTTCAGTGAATACCTCGTCGAGTTTCATGTTCCCCTGATATTTTTTTCAAAAATTCCGAATTTCCACATTTCAGTGAATACCTCCTCAGTTGTCATGCTCCCCTAATACTTTTTCAAATTTATCGTATCTTTCGATTTCAGTGAAAACCTCCTCGATTGTTATGCTCCCCTGATACTTTTTCAAATTTAAGGAATTTTTCGATTTCAGTGAAAACTTCCTCGATTGTTATGCTCCCCTGATACTTGTTCAAATTTATCGAATTTTTCGATTTCAGTGAAAACTTCC